AACCTCTAACAAGTTGCATTGATATCTGATAAAATACACTCAAAAGAATGTCAGTCAGTTCTTTGATTTTCCTTTGTGAAACAGTGAAAACTTTCAAAACAATGTGCACGTTTTGTATTCAAGGTACTAAGAATTGGTTATTATAGAAATTTTCTTGGCAAATTAAGTCTTCTTATTTCACTATTGGGTACAGCTTTAGAGGTTTGGGGGGGGCTGATATGATCAGAAATAAATTAATTAATTTAATAAGTTATTTTCATTTTCACCTGCATCAGACGGGAATGTGACAGAGTATGAAATCAATAAAATTCCAGCCAAAGATATTGAAGACACAAATGGTGCTGGGGACGCATTTGCTGGAGGTAAACCTTCATATTACCTAGTATTAGTAGCTTCTGAACAATGTGAGAAGCGTTTACACAGATATAATCATTTTCTATATACTACCCAGTTGTAGTTTATTTTCTTACTTGTTAAGCATTATGTTGTAAACAAACACTAGAGTCACTGCACTGAAATGAAATGAAATGAAACATCAATGTCATTACAATTTTATTCATGTCATGATGTGAAAATTGAATATATTTGGAAACAACAAATACTATTTCATGGGCACATTTTGGTTGCAAAATATGATTTGATTAATTTCTTTCAAACTTAGAGTAAAGACAATATCTGATGTCATACGCAATGTTTTGATTTAATCCAATATACTTTTTGCTAATTAAAAACTGGTATAACAGTATAAATTGAAAGACACTATACAAGATAAAAAGAAAATGATATGCTTTGAACAATAGGCATGCGACATAGAAAACATGTTAAATTTTTCTCTCCACTAGGTTTTCTGGCACAGTTGGTCCAAGGAAAACCAATAGAAGAATGTGTTCGATGTGGAAACTATGCTGCCAACTATATCATCAAACAATCTGGTGTTAAAACACCTGACAAATGTGATTTTAAGTGAATTTTCAAATCTGTCGGTTGGTTGCAGTAGTACGAACTTGAGGCCAATATGTGCCATACTTGCAACAAATCTGAATGATTTTCTCCAATCATGGGCATGTAGTTTTAATTAATAAATAATTAACATGTTTATTAACTGTGCTGAATATCAACAAAAGAATGTCATAAATAAACTTTCAAGAGAGAAATGTTATTCTGATTTTGTTGTTATTTTTAAATTACAAACATGCTAATGTTTCTGAAAATGTTAAGTTAGTATTTTTCAGATCCTTAAATTCAAGTGGATAAAATGAGAAACAAATCTTCTGATCACAACACCTTAAGGATGTAGTAGTTTTCAGGAAGAATTGTTTTAAACCATGTAACACTATATATTTCCTGAAATCTCATAAATAACACTAATTAAAAATTGATGTTATGCAAGATGTGGTCAAGTGACTGCAAAGTAAATAAATGCTTTATTAAGATTCAAATGAGTACTGTGATAAAATTTAAAGGAATAACAAGTATTTTTATTGGAAAAAATATAGAATACAACATAAGTCGTCAATTTTCTTTTAAAATTTAGTTTTTGCATTTTCTTGAGAAAATTGTTTATATTTTACATTCCGATAGTGAAATCTTTTGAATGTGTGAATTAAACAAAATCACTGACTTTTGTTCAGTGCCTGCTCTCAGACAATTTCATTCAACACCGAATTACTCGGGACATGTAGGTTTGTTCCCTGCACTTTGTAGAAGGGCCACTGCGAGAGGCATTCAATGTTGTATATTTGAAGTAAACTTTTCAGAAATCGCTGTACTGCATGTCAACCACAAGCCCATCGCAACATAATTTAACATCTTTGTACGTCATAGTCGGATCAATGACACATTTAATAGCACTGTTAGTGATAGGACATGACATGCTCATTCTACCTTAAACAAATGCCTGTTTGGAACCCGCACATGTGTTGCCATTAATGTCTTGATTGTGTTGGGGACTCTGGGTATTGCCTAGAGGGTTTCTGCGATCAATGGGATCCTAAAACGTGGTTGCATTGCGAGGTGAGGTGGAAAGCTGAAGGCAAGCAATTAAAAGCTGGTAGAAGTCGTGATAAAAAGGGGAAATCCCTAGCTGCAGCTAGCGATGAAATGTCTGATTCAATGAGTGAAAAATCTCTCCCTCCACTTGGTAATTGCGACGAGGCATGACTTTGATTGTTGGAGAGTTGTCACGATCTGACTAACTGCTCGAGGTAGTGGGGTAGTCGAGGATTGAGACAAGACCTTCAAAATAGTTTCTCTGAGTTGATAGACGATGGTTGATAACATGGAGTTAGGTTTCCCCGTTTGATGTTTCCACGACGGACAAACACCATTCAACCACTTTTGCTGGGGGATCGGAGTTTTTAGTCACTATGTTACCGATGTTGGTAAACAGCGTATTCCCACTGGGGCACTGACATCGACACAGAGTACAGAGGTGGAATCGGTATGGCCTTTAGGGACTGAACCTTCAATCCACAGAGACTTAATTGGTACCAACGCAGCCAGAGTTGCTTGCGCAATTATAGGGAATGGCCCTGTTGCCTTCCCTTACCGTTACTAATCAAGGTGACCAGCTCTCTCATGGTGAAGAGATGGCTTGGAAGGCCTGGATGCACAATCTGGCTTCAAAGTCAACTCCTTCTACAGTCTGAGGATACGACGCAGGAGGACCTAGGGGGCAAGTCAGGTGAGGGGGGCACGGGCTGAGATAGTGCCTGTCTCTCTGCCACCAGGGCTAGGGTCAGGTGTGTTCCATCCCCCCAGTGATCTCTCCATTAGAGGATCAGTGGGGGGACAACTCGCATCAGTGGGAAAGAGAGCGTCTACTTCTTTTATAGAAGGGGCCCTCTCCCTGGAGCGGATCGCCTTACGCGTCCTCTACCGTATTCCCCACACCCTCCCATGGCTCGGGCTGACCAGGCATCGCTTCCTGCGTCTCGCCAAGCCGCACAGAGTGCCCCCACTTGTGACTGCAAGGGGATGGAACTTGAGTGTTGGTACCCCTGTACAGGGTGGTGAACGGTTTGGCGGTTGCTGAGGATCAGCGTATCCAATTGAAGCAATTGTTCCTGTTGGCCAAGGTAGTTCAAATCAAAACCGCAAGGTGGCTCAGGTAGTAAGTCCTCCGCTCGGGGCCACAACCAGCGAGGATCAAAGCGCACTTGGTCTAGACTAGTAGCGGGAAGCATCAGAAAAAGCCCAAGAAATGTGGTTTTGGTGGTGGGCTTTCGTGGGATCACGCCTTTTGCAGCACATACCAGCTTTCCGATCTCTGGACGCTTACAGTAGTGTTGTGCGGGTATTGGATTCCTCTTCAGTCTCCTCGTCTGACTCCTCATCCTCCTTCAGGTCCTTTCCCTAGGGACGAGGTCAAGGCGGGGACAATCCGACAGGAAGTAGCCAGCCTTCTGGAGAAAAGGGCTATAAACCTAGGGAAGAACCCCATTTATTCTCGGGGTTCTATTCCCACATCTTGGGTGGCATCCAGTCCTAGACCACAGTCATTTTGTGGAACTCAAATGCTTCCGGATGGATACACCAGCTTCGGTACTTCTGTTAGTGCACTCAGGCGATTGGCTTGCCTCACTGGACTTGAGCCACGCTTACATGTACTTCCACATTCCCCATTGACCACTCATGCAGCCTGTATCTCAGATTCCTATCAGAGGGCAACGTTTACGAGTTTACCACCCTCCCTTTCAGTCTGTGCATGACACCGTACATGTTCACCAAAGTGCTAAAACAGGTGATGCAGCTGATTACACCGGTCGTCAGTCTATCTGAACCCATATCGCGACGACTGGTTATTACACAACTGAGACAGGGAGGTGTCCACGAGTTGGGCTTTTTACTAAATATAGCCCAATACTGTCCTACAGCCTGGTTTTTCTGGGTATGCAGTTTGATACGAAGCAAGGGCTTGTTTGCCCCTCTCAGGAGAGATGCGACTCCCTTGCAGAGCTCGCCAGCCAGCACTGGTCGTCTGGTTCGGCGTTTATGCACGAACTGATGCGGCTTATTGGCAAAATGAATTCAGTTTGTAGTCTGGTTCTGTTAGCAGCTCTCCGGTCTCGTCCGATTCAGAGGTGCTTACTGGACTACAGGGTCCACATGCGGAACCTGACGTTCAGAGTTCAATTGTTGAACCAAGCGATGGCGGCCCTCCTTTGGTGGAAAGGACGCATGGAACTTGAAACGGAAATACCCCTAGATCTCTTGCTGACTCTCATTACAGATGTGTCACTCCCGACGTGCATGTCACTCGTCCCGGAGACGAGCACTTCCTCCATGAACGCTCTATTGATCTCTTGGAGTCTCGTGGATGCTTACGCTTTTCCACCCTTCCAACTGGTGTATCAAGTGTTGGGGAAGTTGCAATTTGAGCCCACCTGCCTTCTGAATTTGGTGGCGCCCAATTGGCCAGTGAAGGTCTGGTTCCCAATGTTGTTGGAACTTCTCGTTGAGTCACCCGTAGAGTTGCAGGATCTTCCGGATCTGGTTTCCCAGCCCTATTCCATCTTCACACGTGGAGGCTGTCAATAAACTCGTGCAAGCGCAAGGTTTTTCTGCAGAGTTGTCCAAGTTCTCGCTTTGGCACAGTCGGACGACACCAGACATTTGTACGAATCCAGATGGAGACTGTACATTGATTGGTGTGACGGAAGGGAGATTGATCATCTCAGTCCTTCTATTAGTGAGGTAGCCGATTTTTTTTCCTATATTTATTCAATCAAGGTAAATCTATATAAACAATTCTTGGATATCGGCCAGTTTTATTCCCAGTTTTATCTAAATCTGCTGGAATGAAACTTGCTTTGAGTTTGATTATGATACAACTGTTTAAGTTTTCCGCGCCAAGGGTGTAGCGAATCCTCCTGACTGGGACTTGTCATTGGTTCTAACGGCGTTATGACACCTCCCCTTTGAGCCTATGGATAAGTCGGACATGAAGTATGAAGTATGAAAACAGTTTTCTTTTGGCTCTGGCATCAGGTAGACGGCGGCACTGTCCTTTAGTGACGGATATGCCTCCTTTATGCACTCACAAGATATTTTGAAGACTCTTGGGTTTTTTTGCCAAGAATCAAATCCCAGGGCATGACCCTGAGCCGATCGTCATCCCAAGCCTCTCTGACTTAGTGGGCAAGTAGGACCATCAGGAACAGATTCTATGTCATGTCCGAGCTCTGAGCAGGTACTGCGATTGCACCGAGGTGTCTAGGGGCAGTGAGAAGCGCATGTTTGTCTGTTATGGGCGGGGCAAACAAAGCCACCCTGCTTCCAATATCACCATTTCATGGTTGATTGTTGATACGATCGTGGAAGCGTATAACTTAACTGCTTCTTCATTGGCTCGTTTGGAGCATCACCAGGTGAAGGCACACAAAGTGCGCGGGGTAGCCAACTCATTGGCTTTGATGTCTGGGGCCTTGTTCAAGCAGGTGCTCCGAGCAGGGTTCTGGAGATCTCAGAATGTCTTCATTAACTATTACCTGAGAGACCTCAAAGCACTGGAGGAGGGTCTCTACAGGTTGGGTCCAGTGGTGACAGGTCAGACAGTGTTCGTTGACCCAGCCTGCACCACCAACTGGCTCTATGCGCGAAAGTGTTAGTGTGATAGTGTCTTCAGCCAAAACCAGCCTTCTTTGCTTGACGCTGCAGGTTTCGATCAGCGCCATCGAACCCCAGCAATACTGTTTTTCATGCATTAGAATGGTATGAGCCCTATTTTATTGTTCAGTCGGCCGGCTTTAGTAAGCCTCCTTAAATTGGGGGGGTCTACTTTTTAGGCACCCGGCCCCTGAAGAGTCGCCTAAGTGGTTTTATCCCGGGACAAGACTCTTTGTTAGTGAGTAGTTTTAGATTTCTCTCAGTTTTTTGACCTTTCTTCTTTGTGTCGAAAAATGTACATTTCAGTCGTCGGGGCTTTCCCACCTCCGGTGAGCGTGCTACTCTGCCTAACGAGTGATAAATGACATTTATTATTTCCAGGGACTTTCTGGTAGGTGATGTAGTAAACTATTAGGGTTGTACAAACCTATTTGTGTACCTAATCATACCTACCAGAAAGTCTGTGCAGCAGAAAGGAGTTGATCACCAACATTAGATTCCTAGATAATCTCGGTCATAAAACTGTAACTGTCGTGCGTAGCAGCGAAGCTG